AGTCTCTTCGAGCTATGAAGCTTTCAAAAATCGAAAAGGGTCTATATCTTGAAAGTTTCATATGTCGAAGACACTTTGTTCAAAACTTTTGAATATTTTTATGGAAGCTAGTCAAGCTGAGTTCCCTATATGTGCATAGTTTCCGATTAAAATTTGAAAATATGAGTTTACCGAAAACTTAGAGTTTCTAGAAAAACATTTCGATGGTTTAGTCAAAATGCAAATTCTTTTAGGGTTTTTATGAGAATACTATGAAGTATCTATAGACAAAATATCATTGAAATTGAAAGAAAGCAACTAAGGAGATTTTCTTGTTAGAAATTTTGCACCCGTGTTTGTTCGAGAGTAATGAAATAATCTTTGAAAAGTCTCAAAAATTAGTTGGAACGAAACTTGAGGCCTGATGTTTTCAGTGAACATGGACCTGTTTGAAAGCATTTCAGACGAGCCAAAAATTATAGATTGCGACTAGAATTTCAATATGGGCTTAGAAATGTTGTGTCTTGTTTTGTTCAAGAGTACTGAGAAACATTTTCAAATACCTGAAAAGTTATTTTTAATAATGAGCCAACAAGTTTTTGATTATCCTAAAAGTCCTTTTTCGAACATACTAAAAATTCTCGATGTCAGTCATTTCGTAGAGCGGACGTTTCTCTACAAAATGAGATATTGAACTAAACTGTATCTTTTATCCAAGCATTTTTTTTTAAGAACTTCATTCAACGTAAAACGGTTATTGTTTTTTCAAAAAATGAATATTTAGGAAAAACGAAAATTGAGGTGCTTTGTCGAAAGATAAAAAAAATCTGCAAATAGTGTACTTTATAGAGTAACTTCTCATGTACAAGTTGATATATAAATAAAAATCCCAATTTTTAGTTTCGAATTACAATAGTGCAAAATACAAACATTTTCCGTCCAAACTAGTATTTTGGACTTTTCAAAGATTATTTCATTACTCTTGAATAAAAACTCAGACAAAATTTCTAAGTCTATATTCGAATAGAACATCTTAATTCATAGCTTTTGATACTTCCTAGCAAGTCAAAAGTGAATAAACATCTTATTTAAAAACTTTCTAATCATCTGTCGAACAAAACATGTAGTTATCAATAATTTTTCACTTTAATAACGTATACATTTAATTTTATAACAATAAATAAAGAAATTCTTTGAAGAGTTTGAGAATTTCATTGTATTGATATTTGTCGTCAGTTTCAAAGGACATTACATTTTCTAATTGATGAAATGGATTCTTAAAAGTGCAACATTCTAATTTGAAATGAGATAGTGAACTGCTTTAAATTGACATAGAAAGTTTAAGAAGATTATGATTGGGAGGATAAAAAAGTGACAGGCTTCTATAGAATTTAATCTTTAATTTATTAAATTTATTGAAATGTTGAAATGTATTTTTTGATAGTATGTAGCACATCGAAACTAAATCCTTATCATCGTTTTTTTCTATTAGAGAAGGTCAAAAAGAACGCCGGACTTTATAATAAAATCCTGTCAGATCTTGAAAGAAAAACCACTATTTATTTATTCTTATAAAATCAAATATATATATTATTAAAATAAAAAATTAATTATAACTACATATTTATAATATCATCTGTCAATTGATTGTTATTTGCTATTTACTTAATATGTAAAACATTCGACAAACAGTGTAACTTCAATATGACATATAAATATATATATGTATTGTTTAATCATCGTCTCGTTATGCTTGCCATCCATTATTGTACAACATATAACAGAAATCAATGATTCATAATGAATGAATGAGTCTTTTGACACTTCATTGTCTTTATGTCATCATCAAACAGAAAATTGTTCGATTGACATTATCAAATAATGAGTATGTATAATATGATTTTTGTAAACAAAACAAGACAAACTTAAATATTATGTCTCTTTTGTTCTATTCAATACATATCTGTCTAATGAATAAGTTCTATTAGCTAAATACTACATAAAATCTAGCAATTATCGGTTTTTTTTAATAGTCAAATAGTTTTTTTTTTCAAGTTGAAATAAAGATTCTTATTAATGTGTAATTTATAAATAAATATTAATACGAAGAAATAAATTCTTGTTTGATGTTTTTTTTTCTGAATGATTTAGAAGATAATGATTGTGTCAGTTTAGTTCATTATTGAAGAACAAATAGATAATTATCAATATTCAGAATCAAAACATTTAAATATGTATTTTTATTTTATTATGTTTGCTGAAATTTTATTGCTCTATAAATGAAAAGATTTTTAATTTTTTTTTTAACCAGATTGCTTTTGTGATTTAACAGTAAATTTAATTGTAAGTGATGCATACGGCCCAACTTGATCTTGTGCATCCAATTGAATAACAAAATCTCCTGTAGCCATAAAATTAGCAATACTTGATTGAGCATCAGGTAATTCGAGTGGTTCATTCACAATGGACAAAGGTCCAGCAGGAATATTGAATGGACAATTACAATCAATACCAAATTGAGCCATACGTGCAGGACAAGTTTGAGGTTTAAATGATGGTAACATAGTTTTAAGTACAGCACATAAATCTTTATAAGTACATGAACCAACTTCGATACCTTGAACTTTATAGCATCTAATTGGAAGATTAATACCACTTACTGCACGATTAATCTTTAAAGCAGTTTGTATTGTTTCTAATAATGAGTAGAAAATAATATGAAATGATGATATTTTATCTCACAATAAAAAGAAAAGAAAAGAAAAGTGAAACTTACTAATTGGTCGTTTGAGATTAGCAATAAAAGTAAGAAAAGCTTGTCCTGGATTAACAATTGGCATTGGAGTAATGTCAACATTAGTAATATCAATGGCAGGTGCCGAATGTACTGTTAATTCTAATTTATTATATTCACCTCGAACATTAACAGTAATAGCAAAGATTACAATAACAATTGAAATTGATGAAAATTTTTGCATGATGTCTGTTGAAAGAGTGCAAAAACAGATAAACGATAGAATAAAGTGTGAATATTGCTTGATATATATATATATATATTCAAGAGATTAAAATGAATACGCCTCCGTTTGGATATGGTGTGACAATAATCGCGTATGTAATTTGTTGCAATTGGCGTTAAAGATCAGGCCATATATTGCCGCACCAATGTATGGCTTTCGACTTATCTTTTTTTTCTTTCGAAAAATTTTCATGAAAAAAAAACGCAATATTATAGCTCTGAGAATCAAACATATTGTGTCGAGGTTAGTCCAAACTGAACGACTTATCATATAGGTGCATTCAAAGCACTTACATATGGATGGTACAATATAACAGAGCGATAGTTTTATAATTGAAAAACCTTTTTTTCATGAATAAAATAACCTTATTATAGTTAGTGGATAGAAAATTCATTAATAACTTAAGATGAAAGATGTTTTGACTTATTCATTTAAAAGCTTGTGAAATGATTCTTTGTATGGATTTCAAACTTGTTGTAGAACATATGAAAATAATTTATTTGACTCATAAATACATTATGTAGAGTTATGAACTCAGCACTAATATATACTACTAGATAGATCACAAAGACTTCCCTTGTCTCTCTTTTTTTTTCAAACTATTTATTATTTAAATTTTGAAAGATTTTACTTAATTGATGTTCTATTTCTAAAACTATGTATATTATTATAAAATATTGAAAGTAAAACTTGAATCAAGAAATTGAAGTTCATATTTTTCCAAAAGTTTGATTATTATACATAATAGAAGTAAAGTCTTGTGTAATCACTTATTACATTACATATTACAAATTATTTCGCTAAGAAGAAATTGTTAATAAAAGAAATTAGATGAAATGTTTTGTTTTACTTTATCTTCTAAACTTTAACAATATTAGTAGTTAAATATTAACATTACCATACTTGTATTATTGACTGACAATTATATCATCTAAGACGATGAATCTTATGTGTTGAAGTTTAATAAATAATTAAAAAGTAAATTATTACGAAAAAGCTATTAGTGCAATATCTATGAGATTAAAATGTGTAACAAACTATTATTTTCGTTATTAATTGAAAGAAATGTTTGACAAACTTGTTCAAATTAATAGTCGATGTAATTTTTTATTTTGTTTAATTCGACAGGAAAATATTTTCGTTTGACTATAAACTTATAGCTACAATAAAAAAATTTATCGCGGATATGGATTGTTAATCAAAGTAAGAATTCTATAATAAAGCAAAAAATGGTGCCCTGAGAAATTATGAGAGATACAACTGGCTGGTTTGGTTCATGACAAGAAGGAGACTGTTGGACTTAACATGTCTATCATCCAGTTTCGGTTTATATCCTGTCTTAATCCTTTGAGTCCGGGACTTTTTTTTTAACTAGAAGTATTTATAATTTCAAATCAATGTTTATCTCTTTGAGAGCGACGGTTCTTTCTCAAGAAATGTTACAGACTTGATCCATGTGCGAACTCATCAAATAATATGCTGATTACCTGAACTATTAAGGGACAACTCATAATGATCAGTAATTATAGATAATCTTCATAGCACAAATATCCTAAATACAAATATTCATGCAATTGATATTATTAAATAACTAAAACACCATGTTTTTCAAAGATATTCAGCGCGCAAAATCCCAGGACGAACATGTTCGTCGCCAGGACCCAAAGGGTTAAACTACAATTAAAATCTTCTTTCCATTACAATGATAATAAATTAGAATTATCGAAAAGGCATGCCTACAAACAAAATCGTAGCTCTTATCATATTTTACATTTTACTTCTATGGTGCAATTTTATTTTATTTTTTCATTAAACATTAATCTTCATGTGATAATACATCATCTTTTAAGTCGTCAAACATGAGTTCATTTGCTTAAAACTATATATTTATTGACAAATGCTAAAATAAAATATATAATTTTTCAGAACTTTTATTCCTCAAAATACAATTTATATAATACAAAATGAGATTAAACATATAAACATGAAATAATATGTGTTTCATGTCAATTGTAAAATAACTTTCATAAGTGAATCTATATATTGCATATCATTATTTAAACGAATAATTGAATCAATCTGAGCAATTTTTGTTTGTAAATATATAAATCTTGTTATAAATTGTGTAAATAAATTTACTGCTCTTTCTTGACCATATTTTTTTATCATATATAACCATAATAATTCAATATAACTGGATTGTATTCCTCTAATATATTTCGATTGTTTATATTCAACTGTATCACTATTTGTTGATAGTAAATTTGTTGTAAAAAATAATATAATTAATAATAATTTAATTATAAGTGGATTAAATGTAACAAATGGGACAAAAGTATTTGATAAAATTTGATACATTGAATGTAAATTTATATTATTAATACAATCAATTGTTTGAATATATGTATAACGAATTTGTGAATGACTAGGTGTTTTTAATAAAGCATAATTAATTGGTAATAAAATACGAATATTTCGTTTTATTAATGTTGCTTGATCATCAATATTTAATTGTTGAAAATCAGGTAAATGTTTAAAATAACTTATTAAATTAATTATAATTGGTTTTTTACGATTATAAAAGTCATGTAAACGTAATGAAAGAACTTCTTGTGGCGCACAATAGTCGACTATACTTGGTTCACTGGTATATTGATCATAACAATGAATTATATTATTTAGACTTATTCGATCTGTTGAACATAATATTGTTAATGAATTAAAATATTCTGGTTGTCTCAATATTGATATCTGATGAATATATTTTTTTTGAAAATTTAACAAAACAAATATATTCAAATAATTAACCTGTAGTCGTCGTTTTGTTTGTTTAATTGTTCGATTTTTATTTTTTTCTTGTTCACTACGGATCCATTCCTTTCTCATACCTACAATTTACAACACGATAATAAGTATAAATTATATACATGGATTAATATTTTTCTTTCTATCTATTAAATTTTTCAAGAGTAAACATAATTTTAGGTCTTCATGATCTGTTATACTCGTGTTTTAAATAAAAACATGAGTTTCATTTTTCTTTTGAAGATAAAATTTCATACAACATGCCAATAGCAAAACATTTTTTGATACGACAATATGTGCAAAATCGTCGATTTTCTATTGTTATGTCACAATTTCCATCAAATCGGCATTTTAATTCCATCTAAATTTAATTATCGATAAATAAAAAACAAGAAAATTTATTCAATTTATTTACTATATTTTTCAGAGCATTTCGTCGAAAAAAGGCTAGAAAATAAAATAGTATATAAAAACTTATTGTCATTTATATATTTTCTTCTTTTTCCTTTGATTTTTACCTTTACAACTTTCGCATGTAATTCGATCAAAATTGTATCCGAATGCTCTAGCTCCACAAACAGCACATTGTAAATTTTTTTTCTTTGTTTTTTTCATATATTCATTATTATCTAACATTGGAACATCGTACTGAACAAAAATAAATAAATAAAAATAATAATAATAATAATAATAAATTATAATTGAAACCTTTTTAATCATAGTTGAAACACATAAGTTTGAGTCAAGGAAATATTCATCAAAAGTATCATTATTATTTGGTTCCATTTCATTAATAAAATCCTCTTCAGTTATAGAATAACAATCAATATTCATCTAAAAGACGAAGCTTTTTTTTTCCTTTATTGAAATGCTTTGAGATCACTTATTTCTCAGTAAATGAAAAAAAAACGTTTCTTAATTAATCAAGCGCTCTCAAGACAGAATTTTACCTCACTCATAATATTTTTTCTCTTTTACCGTTCTATAAGATAGGAGAAAATAGCGGCATATCGAGAATATTGGAGACAAAGGGAAAGGGCACAACGATGTCTGTCTCCTTAGCATGTGAAAACATGACGTGTTTCGTCTAGCAATCCATTCTTTCTGCTTCTTTCCTGCATTATACGTGGTCACTGAGTTGATGTCAACAAAAAACAAAATATATTTTCATCTTAGTTAATGCACTCACTTTCCTCCGGCAGCAGAGGTCAATATGAATGAAAAAAAAAAAACAATTAAGAAAAGAAAAAGCACAAGAAAAAGAACATAAGTATAGATCTGCTTCTGCTTACACTTACACAAAAACTGCTTCGTATGAGTTGTCTACTTGAAAAAAAAATAGAAAATTCATTTAAAAAAAATCAAATTGAATTTTTTGTCTAACGGCAAGAAGTATGAATTTATCCTAATGTTTTATTGGTATTGTTTATGGAATGTTATTTTTACATTCTCTCTTTATTGACATTTAAGACGCCTTAATCACGATAATGCCTTGTGATCAGATTTTTATGCAAGTTAACGTCTATTGTTTTTTTTGTAATTGTCTATATTCTTCGAGATGAATATATTTATATCGTGTTCGAAATACAGTGATTATTCGACCGAGTTTAGTTTCAATATTTTTTTGCTGCCGTCGACGCTAAGAAGAACTCAAATATTGATTTCGAATAGAGAATTTTATTTCTAACAAGAATTATTGAAGACAAAAATTATTGCTAATGTTCACAAGGACAGAGTCTTTGAAAAATAAAATTCTCAATTATAATTTTATGAGATAGAGCAAATAATTCTCTGTAAAATGAGACATTTTCCAGCTGTCTAAAATGTTTTTTTAATCTAAATAGATGAACTTTAAGGAGGACGCAAAAATTGTGTTTTCACACGAAATAACAGAAGCCAATGACTTTTGTGCCTTTCACTAAGTTTATGTATCTTGTTCAAAAGACGTCGTAGAGAAGCTGGAAGCTGTTTCATGTTGTAGAGAATTATTTGTTCTATCTTATAGATTTATAATTAAAAATTTTGTTTTTTAAAGACTCTGTCCTTGGAAACAATAGCAATCATTTTTGTCTTCAATAATTCTTGTTAGAAATAAAATTCTCTATTCAAAATCAACATTTGAATTCTTCTTAGCATTAACGACAGCGGAAAAAAGTTTGAAATAAGACCTGGTTGATTAATTATGTAATCCACTGTATATATTATCATCACCTAATAATTACGAGATCTTCACCTTGAAATGAGTGTTGATTGAATACTTGTGTATGATAATTATACATAATAGTAAACTACAATTAAGTAATGGCATGTGAATGAATGTTTAAACGTCGAAGAAGCGACTTTGTTCTTTTTACTTACCATAACGAGTGGCATTGCAGCACAAAAACGCTTGAAATATTTATAACTTTCATTTCTGAATTACTTTAACTCTTTAATTTTTTATATTAAAATGTTCTAATTTCAATTCTTTATAATAGTGTTAAAGTTTGTGTATGCCAAGACAGTAACTCGGTAGTCTTATTATTACATATAAGAAAACTGTAATAATCTGGTATTACTTGATGATGAAACTTTTCAATTGTCTATCATTTATGCTTTTATTTTGTTTTCAAATGAAAGAGTTCATTGATTTTTATTTGATTGATTCTAATTCGGTACACTAAAACATGCTGGTTTTTATATTCATTTGTTTTCTTTGGAACTGAAATGTTTACATGTTTGTTTCTATGAGTAATATCGGTTGTTATTCACCTACGAATAATTCTGAATACGACATTAGTATAGAAATTGTGATTTACTTGATGAACCTGTATAATAATAAAAAAAATCAGGAAACTTTTTGGTAATAATTAAATGCAATAGAATAAATGCAGTAACCTATTTTTAATTTGATATCAACACAATTATGCATAGTTTTTATTTTTATTTTAATGAATTATTACATTGCTACATTACGCCATTGTTTATTTGAATATAAAAGAAAACAGGAAATTTTATTGTTTATTCTAAAAACTACGATGTTGCACCGTAAAGTAAGGAAGAAAAAAAACGTTTTTTTACCCCCTTTATATTTCGCTTAATTTTACTGACTCACAGGAAAAAAATGTGAGCCTTATAAATGATTGGTGAAATTGAATAGAAGAAGCCTAAGTATAAATTATAATACGAATATTTTTTTTTTCTTTTTATTTATATTCAATCAGAATAAACACAAAAACAATCTTGAATTTAGGCTTTTATTGATTTTTGATTCAATTCAGTTTCTAAGTTGAATCAAACGAATACTATCAAATGGAAAAAAAAAATTTCATCATTCAACTGAATTCGAATTCAATCTTATCAATTATCGATTCATATCATAGTTAAAATAATAATAATGTCTATCGATCATGCATAAAAAAGAACGAATTCATTCAGTATTTTATATACGAAAGATTTTTAAAAAAGTATATAACATAAACGATTTCAATCTATATAGGATCAAAATTAATATAAATATATCAAAGTTCATTGAATAATAAATAGCCTATATTAAGATATATTGTATTATTAAACAAAATATACTCGGTAGAATAAAATTAGCAATAATATAGATTGTTATAAGTATAAAATAGAAACAAATTCTATTTAAAATATAAACTTAATATTGCTTTAATAGATAATATCTCTTAAATAGAACATATAATTGATTTGAAGTTTTTTGAATTATAAAATTTGTTTTAGTATGATAGAAATAAGAGGGTGAAACATTATTTTCATATATTTTTTATAGAAAATGTTATTTTGAAAAATTTTCCTATGCTCTTAAATAAGAAATCAAATAATTTCATCAATGAAAAAAAAAAACTGTTTTTTTTTTTCGAAAACAAAAAATTATAAATTGTTATTCAATTCTTTAGAATACAATGCTATCATAGACACATAGTTTTTATTATTATGACAACTAATTCAAATCAGAGTTTAACTGTCAAGAAAAGAATAAACATATCAAACATTTTCCAGAAATGTCAGGATTATTTTCAAGACAGCTCCAATAAGGAAAACATGATTATTTTGAAAGCAAAATGAAGCATACATTATTTATTATTTCGGTACATTACTTAAAAATTTAGATGAATTTCATGAATCAATCGACTGAAAATTGATAAATTATTAATCTTGAAATAGAATTTTGTCTTATCAAAACAATGAATAATAATTCAGAGAAGAAACTTCAACTGTAAATTGACTTACACCTTAAATTAAATATAATATTGCTCAAAAGGAAAAAATCGCCATATCTTTGATTTTTTTTCTACAATACTAAGTATTTAACTCAAATCCCAACAGTACTCGGAACAGTTAATGAAGTTCTCTATCAAATGTATTTTATACAGAAATTTCATATATTACCCAGACGAGGAAAGTTTCTGAAGAATCAAACATGATAGTTTTCAGGTTTGACGAGACTGTATGAAAATTAGTTTTTAAGGGTACTATCGTAAAGAGCACAAAACTCTAAATAAAATGACCAGTTATCCTATTTTTTGGAACCTTCCCTTTAAAAGGTATAAGCATCACAAAAAAACGGAAAAAAAAGCAAAATTTATCATAGCATTACTGGAAAACGCATTTTGTTTTGTTTTTTGTGATGTTTATAACTTTTAAAGGAAAGGTTCTAGAAAATGGGATAACCGGTCATTTTATTCAGAGTTTTGTGCTCTTTACAATGTTACTCTTAAAAATTAATTTTCATACAGTCTCCTTAGACCTGAAAACTACCATGTTTGGTTTTTCAAAAACCTTCCTCTCATAGTCGATCTCTGAAATTTGGTATGGAATGCATTTGAGAAAGAACTTGATCGCCTATTCAAACTACTATTTGTATTTTAGTTAAATGCTTGGTATCGTAGAAAAAAGTAAAAATATGTTGTTATTATATTTTTGATCAGTATTGTATTGGTGGATATCTCTGACAAATGACTAAGAAAATAAGTAGAGAGTACTTGTTTTTCAAGTAAGATCTTATCAATCAACAATTGCTTACCATGAATAGCCATCATGATATTGATATACTTTAGTTGGTGGACAATAAAAAAACCAATATTGCATTGTGAGATCCCTTTTGTTGTTCTACTATGTTACTTCTCGAACGTCTTTTTAATCGATACATGTAAATTGAATTAGATAATTGTTTTAAAATTTATTGTGTTAATCAACTGAAAAAAGTAATAATGTATATTGATGATGTTCAATAGAAAAAAAGGAATGTGCTAAATAGAAAATATCATGAAATCTAGCTTAAATACAAGATGACCCAATACATAGCTGCGAACGAACCAGCCCATTCGAAGGCTCTGGCCTAAAAATTGAATATTACCGCCATATTTTGACAAAATGAGCTGATTTTTTCATTATTGATAACTGTGTGTTCATAGTTTATATTAATAAGAAAAACGTTGACAAAAATTGTTTTGAAATGCTACCGTTAACTTCAATGGAAAACAGTCGCCTTCCACGAATTGTAAAAAAAACAATATATATGCTCGTAGTCAAAATAAACGTTGCATTCTTTAACTATTTCATCTCATATTTATACCAAAGATACATGTTTTGTTTCACAGTATGTTCTGAAATCTCAGCTATAAATATCGAGAAATCTACAAATGTTTCGTATGTATTCTGGTGTGACTGGAACTAAAATTCGTTATAATACTTGTCTCGTTATTAATTCGTGCTGTTTTTGAATTCTTGGATAACATTTAGTTAGTCATTGAGATAGTTTGAAGGTGAGAATATCTCTGACTTTGCAAAATTTAAATTAAGCTAGAAATGATAACGCGATAATCATCACAAGAAAATTTCCTCTGAACTACATATGAGCACAACAGACACATTGACAGTTTTTTCAATAAATTCTCACCATTTAGGACTAAAACTTTCAGGGAGTAATGTGTAACAAAACATGCATGTTTGTTGTACATATGAGACTAAATGATAATAACATCTGTTATAATAGTCTTAACACAAAACTATTTCTATTGTTTTATTTGAACAACAAGCTTTCATTCCATTCTTTTCACATGAAAGAAACGTACGAATACTTTGTTCACCAATTCAAAAACTACAAGTGCTATAAGGTTTCTTATTAACAATCCGTCGAAGTACATAGTAAAATAAAATGTGTTGCTATCCAGGTCCAAAAATAGGGTCCGTATACGGTCATTTACGATGAAAATACGATATGTAAACGAACTGTATACCATCATAATACTTGATACAGAAATACAGTCGTATCATAGCGAAATTACGGTACAAATACGACCGTTTACGATGAAAATATGGTTCCGTGTACAGCGCCGTATTACAATGTCTGGGATTACGAGAAAATACGATTAGTTTACTGCCGTAAAATTGTAGCTTTCTTTACCGTTTACTGATGGAAAACGAACCGTAAATGATATTCGGTTTGATCAACCTGAGTAGTTATAATATCCCAAACTCTACCGCGAAAATGTGTCGCAGTCGGAATGTGTCGTAGTCTGTCTGTTAACTATTCATTCATCATTTTGTTTTGTGCATACACCTACATATAACCAACTCAATTGAACATACGTAACTTATATGTTTTCGTATGTCTTTTTGCCAGGTTATTTCTGGATTAAACGAATTTGAGATGGCTAGATCACGAAATCTGACCACCTTGAGCTTTAAGAATAGATATCACTAGTTTGAATTAAACTGAAAAAATAGTAATTATTCGCTTCTGCATTAAAAAAAAGACAAATACGCTGAAGAATAAATACGAACGATATTTTCAAAATATGTCGTATCAAGCACTTCGTGTCTTACTTTAATCTGTCGTATATTATGTCGTAAATTACGACACATGCAACACATTTTATTTTAATGTGCATTATTTTTTTTTTCAGAAGTCCTGAATTGTATTTAGGTCAACGGCGACACTTCAACACAGTTTTTGTCAACGTTTTTCTTATAAATATGAACTATGAACATACATTTATCAGTGGTGAAAAAATCAGTCCATTTGGTTAAGAAATGGCAGCGATGTTCAAGTTTTTCTCGGTAAAGTGACTTTGAGGTCACCCTGAGTCTATACATGAAAGAAAATGCTTGAGTCATTGACTTTGTACAAGAACGTGTCCTTATTGGATTTTTTTAATCAGAAGAATAGTGCTCTGTATAATCAAACCTTTTGACTCCGAAAAAATTCTTTACGATCATTTCGACTTGAGGGGGAGTCCGATGCAGAACTCTACAGAAGAAACATAAGATAACTAAATCTGTATTTCCACCAGAAGTTTAAAGTATTTTGAAGAATGTTAAAAATGTTACAGGAATATTCAGTTTTTTGGAATACTGAATAGTGACTAAGCCTGTGTTTAAGCTTAGAATGGACTTAGTCCATCCCTAGCCTGGAAGCATTTCTTCTTTGAATATTTTTATTGACAATCTAAAGTCGAGGGATTTCCACATATTCTTCAAAAGACACAATTTCATATTGTTTAGATCCTTCCATAAATTTTATTATCAAAAGAGAAGATATCAATGTTTCTATTTCTCGAGAACAAAAATAACATCAAGGCTGGTTTATACGATTAATTCAATTCTGTTTGAGAGAAAAATGATAAACGATGCCCTCTATTTAAAGTAATAAAATTAATAAAAATAATTGACTTATGAACTAACCAATCAGAAAATAGCCGTCTTTTTTCAGGAAGAAAAAAGGTTTTTACTTTCATGTTCACACAAATAACAAAAAAAAACATCCCTAACTATCGATTATGAAATCATTTTCTTTTACTTTTAGTACGCAATTTGCTTTCCTGTCAGAAGTTATATATATAACTTTTTCTTCCTCCCTTCTTTCCCACATCTACCTTGTTATTCAACCAGTCTTTTTTTTCTTTTTTTTGATTCAGTCAACAAGTTTCTCGTGGAGTATTGGTGCTTTTTTTTTCTTCTTCTACACTTTTTAACGTCATTTTTTTTATGATTTCCTTTTTTTTTTCATCAATGCCATGAGCAAAATATTTAACTAAGAACGAGAAAAAGAGAATTTTTAAATGTTTTGAGCACATGCTTTGCTGAGTCACAGAATAAAATAAAATTATACTTGATTCTTTTTATTCACTTATTCATTTGATCATTGAGTACAATGGTATTGACATCAATAACAATCAATATGAAGGTATAACATATGTAATATAAAGCAAATATAGTTAGAATGATAAATATTATTAATGATCTATTGTTCTCAAATGTATATTTATATATCAAAGAGCACAAAAAAAGAAGAATAAGGCTCAATACTAATAATAATTTTCTTTATTTTCTATTTAGAAATATATAAAATATTTTCTTTTTTTTACTTAGATAATCAATATTTATATAGTATTATTTCAATGGAATCTTTGCAATCAAAACTTTCAGTTAGTGCAATGACAGCTAATCTTCGCATATTTACAGGTGAGTTCTATTTTACAGACAAAAATCATATAAAAAACAAAAAAAAAGAAACTGAAATTTGAATTTTATGTTAATAAAATTTCAAGGGTAATGCTAACTGAAAAAAACAAGTGACTTGTTTTTTTGTTCTCATGCATTATCTATTATCGTTATAAAATGCATCGTACGTGTACTATCTAACTTCATATATAAATATATATATATATATATAAGCTTGATTACACAGATTTAAGTTCGCAGTAGAACAAAGCATTCTTATCTTAGAAAAAAAAACACAAAGGTCAGGATTATGAATCATATATAAATAAAAATAAAGTGGAATTATCTTTATCTTTATGTTTACTTTATTGATAAATATGAAAAGAACATAGCTGATGATCTAAAACATTCGTATGAAGATTTTTTTTTATGATAAATTTTTTTTGTAAATATATATGTTTTTTTTTTGATAAATAAAAAAAAAATAAAATTTATTATTAATTGCATTATGAAATATAACATAAGAAGAAAAAAAAGATTATTTTTAATTGAAAATTTTTTTGGAATTTAATAAAGATAAACATTGTTTATGTTTAAAAAATGAAACTCGTTATCATATTCAGTGTTTTATCGAGATTTTCAACTTTCGCAATGGCGAGCACCTACTTTTGAGAGCATAGACACATAGTACAATAACCACAAACTTCAGGGGGTCCAACCCGATTTTCGTCAAGGTGTGGCCTGTTCAGTTCTCACGCTGAATAAAAACATTGATGATATTATCGTCTGAAGTAAATCTCGATGAATAAGTTTTCGTATTTATGAGCTTTCTTTCGAAGTTATAATTGTTTTCATAGTTTACACAATTTATAAAATTTCGCTCATAAAGAGATTTGAATGTTTTCAAACTATACAAAATTTACAATTCAAAAAAAAATCGAAAGCTTTATTCTGAACATAATTATATTGTACAAAGACCACTGATGAAAGTTTCAAAATATTAAAAAGAAGAATCTAAAACAATACATTCCTATTGACAAGACAAAGTCATAATTCATATGAGAAACTTGGGATCGATATTTTGTAAAATATAAATGACTCAACCGCTAGGAAGTATCAAAAGTTATGAGTTATAATACTCTTTTGGAAGATAGGCTTACAAGTTTTGTCCTAGTCTTTGATTCGAGACTAACACAATAATCTTTAAAAAGTTCAAAAAATTAGTTCAGACGAAGCTTGTAGACCGACATGTTCAGTGAATAGGATCCGCTTAAGAGCATTCCAGACGAGTCAAAAACTATGGGTCATGACTAGAATTTGAATATGGCTTTAGAAATGTTGTGTCTATTTTGTTCAAGAGTAATGAAGAACTTTTTCAAAAACCTGAAAAATTATTTTTGATAATGAACCCACCGGTTTTTGTTTACTTTATAAGTCCTTTTTCAAAAACATGCCACAAATTATCGGTGTCGATCGTTTTTTACAGCAGACATCTCTTTACAAAATGTGATATTGAACTAAGCTAATTGAGGTACCTTGTCGAAAGACAAAAAAAAACTTCAAATAATGCATTTTGTAAGGTAGTTTTTGACCTACAAACTGATATATAAATAAAGATCCCAACTTTTAGTTTTGAATCATAATAGTGAAAATACAATAATTTTTCGTCCAAACTAATTTTTTTTTGGACTTATTTCACTACTCTCGAACAAATTTTCGAAATCCATATTTGAAAAGAATATAAAACTACAGCTTTTAACTTGTCGGAAATACGTCAAAAGTAAATAAATATCTTGTCCAAAAAACTTTTCAATCATCTGTTAATACTCATACATGAAAATCTTTTATAATTATAACATTATTTTTTTAGAGCCTCGTGGTTTAATTCGTCTTCTTCAATTTATATTCGCAATATTTGCATTTGCTACAGCATGCAGTGGTAGTTCTTCAGTATTGCTCAGCAACTCGAGAAACAATTCAATATCTGCATCTTGGTCTTATCCTTATAATTTAAAAAATACACAAATAATATCTGACAACAAACCTGAAAAACCAATATCTAGTGCAAATGATATAAAACCATCAGCTGAATTTTTTGTATTTACAGGTGTTACATCAATGTTATTATCACTTGGATTTGCTATTGTTTATGTACTTATGGATCAGCGATATCGTAATGATGAACGTTTACCTTTGATTGATTTTATTGTAATATTAATCTGGTCTATCTTTTGGATTGCTGGAAGTGCAGCATGGGCCAAAGGTGTATCAAATATTCGTACGCAAACTAGTTGGGAAAGTATAGCTAAACGTTCGGATTTTTGTTCAGAGGCGCTATCATGCAAAGAAGTTTATTGTGAGTCATGAATTCAATTTTCTTTTTCTTCATTATTATTGTTTTTATTTTCTAGCTGGTACTTATGGAAGTATAATCGTATCTGTTATATTTGGTTTTTTAAATTTTATACTTTGGGCTGGTAGTGCTTGGTTTGTTTATAAAGAAACAAGACTTTTTAAGAGTGGTACAGCACAACAACAGCAACAACAAGAATCATCAGAACAACCTAGTAATTTTTCTAATTTTGGTGCACCGACTATACAACAACAATCAGGAATTCGATCACCAAATTCAATGGGTTAAATCGAAAAAAAGAGCAAATCAATCTCGTACTTTTCTCATAATCATCAAAATCTAATCCAGTTTTTTTTGCGTTTAGGTCAAATTATCATTAGATTTCTTTTTCTTTACTCATTTTCCAATGATCTTGGTTATATGCTTCCCTTATTATATGTCTGTGATTCTCTCCTCATATGCTTTTTGTGAAGGGTCAAACTTTTAAGAAAATATAACAGTGCAAAATCTAGATGTTACTTAAACAGGATGTTTTTCTTCTCACGTGCTTTATTTAATGCATCACTTTTTTCTATTCATTACTCAAAATAAAACTTTGTTTTCTACACTAAATTAATCTGCTGATGATAATAGAACGACAAAATCGATGTATGAACAATTCAATGAATTTTTCTTATTTAATAGAACGAACAATTTTATTATTTTTGTATGTATTTCTATTGGGATTTATTATCAGTCTATAATAGAAATTCTTGATTATTGCTGACAATAAAAAGAATTAGAAATATAATTATATCCAGTAAATTGTATTGTTTCTCAAGAATTAAAATATGATTATGCAGATTGATTTATTCATTCATGGAACGAGCATAAATCTATATTAGTATAAGTTTATTTGAGAAAACAATTCACCTTGCTTGGATCATACTTTATTCTTGGTTAATCTTACAGATGTAAGCATAAAATAAATGCTATAAAATAGGATGTTTAAAATTTCACTAAATCATAGTCTTCGTTTTCAAAATTAAACAACTTTATAATAGATTCCATGTTAAATCAATCGATGATTATGATATTTGATCAGATCACAACCAACATGCAACAACTATAGATGATCTTGATATTGTCAATCATATAAATCTCCTAGGAAATAGCTTCAACAGAGTTCAAACACAACTCAATATAGCAATCAAATACGATAACGAAGTAGATCACCAAGTCAATACTAAGAAAATGCGAGCACTGATAAGATAAAATATAAATAACCTACGTCAATGATTCCAGTCCCTGGATATGACAGCAATCTGAGGGAATTGATCTCTTCCAAACATTTCTCGTCACGGGAATAAAAAAGAAATTCTATCGTATCTGGATAGAAACAAGAGGAATCCATCGGACAAAAACTCGAAAAATAATCGTATCCACGCGTAACTAAGTCAGAGTTGGATCGTATTCTCGAGAAAACTTACCAGAAATAAACTGTAGATAAAGACGGTATCTGTCTAAAAAGATATGTAAAACTCTTTTCAGATTACAATAGATTTTCGACGATGGAAATCGCTTGATTTGAAGTTAGAGCTCTTTTTTTTACAAGAGTCAAACACAAGGAAATCCTCAGAAATCAACACCTACCTTCCATAAGAATTTGTCGATTTATCAAATGGAAGCTCATGTCATCATGAGGCTAAAAAGGAAAGGTTTTGGACCGTATCTTGTCGTCGTGATCAGACACTGAAATCGTAGTCAGGAACTGTACCGCAAACGGGCAGCTATATTCAGACATAGTTTCCAGATCCAAAAATTGACGGGGAACTAAGTTGGTACTGATTTAGGAATCCTGCTTCTGGGATTCACTGAACTCGGCCGTTTCTCGTTGTACATCTTTGACCTGAGAACGGATCACTAAAAATTCAATGAACAGGATATTGAATAGGTTAACAATTTCAGGTATCTTCATTTCGTGATGTTGTCTAATGATATAGATATTCAAGCACGAAAATACGAACGATGAAAAGCATCTAGAATTCACAAATAATGTTGATCGTCTTTAAACCTATACTTGCCAAGCTTCATGTCTCCACGATTTTAATATACGGTTGTGAAACTTACACCATCACAAAGAAACTCGAAAAATCCCATATGCTGTTTCGCCACCAACTGTGATAGGATAATGTTCAACATCGAACATCACCAACGATCGGCAAGATCAGAAAGATTGCTTAACACAAGAAAAATTGGTACAAGAGATTGTTATTATCTGTAAACCTTGTTGGTTCTTAGTCAAATTTTCGGTTCTATAGCAGAGAAAATGTTGAAAGAATAGAAACTCATGTCTACAAAATATGATCGTTACAAAAAAGAACTTAATACTAATCGAACGATCGATATATCATAACATTATAGTTCTTGAAGGCGAAGCAAATAATACTGTACTTGTTGTTAATGAATGAAATTCAATTGATGATAATGATCTATCAAAAAAAGATTCATTTGAAGAAAGTAATGTGTTTTCTATTGATGTTGCTGTTGATCGACTAATTAATTTATCATTAGTATTGTTGTCGATATTAATGTGTATGTTCAGGTACTTATAGATCTTTTTCGATTATTAGACTTATTAATTAACAGTTGATTGTCGACAATGTGAACAATACATATTACATGGATGACCAAATCGTTGTTCAATTAAGGATCTTTAATAAAACAAAAATAAAATATTGAAAATTTGATTACTCAAAAACGAGTTTCAACTATATACCGTAGAAAGTGAGAATATCATCTACACAAATAATTAGAATAATGATAGAAGATCGAGCAAAAGTAACAATGGTAATCCAAGACCAAGACTGTTCAGTTATTAGTGATATATAATTGCATTTTGTAACAATTGTAGCTAACAGAAAATAATAAAAATATAGAAATATGAATTAAAAAACAGTTAAATAAGCATTTACTAATAGTCGTAGTTGATTCATTTGTTGTTGTTATTGAAGTTGTGTTAGTTGATATGATTGACGTAGTTGATGATGTTGTAGATGAAGTTTTTGTTGGATCAACAAATAAATTAAAATAATATTGATTTGATGAATAATTATTATTATCAACTGCTACAGCACAAAATTTTAATGTTTTGTTAAACTGATCAAATGTTGGTGTCCATGTAAGATTAATAGCAAATAATAGAGATGCTCATTTCTCCATTTTTCCCTATATGATTGACTATGAAGCAATAACTATTGTGTATATATATCATTTCAATCAAATGCATGACATCCAGAAGATTAAATATATATGAAGCAAAGAAGCAATGGAATTTTGCGAAAATAAAAAAAAGTATCTATCATATTCTAGCCAATGAAAACCAATTTGTTTTTGAAAACTAACGAGAGCCAAAGAACATTTTTTGCTAGATTTCAAAAATAAAACTCCTACTCATGTCGAACAAGTATGCTAATAAAATCGTCGGATAATATGGCTCCATATTACGATTATATACGGATTTCGTATACTTCGTACTGGATATATTTTCAAATTAATTTAGCTTGCACATTTCTATTTCTTTTTTGTTTTGTTGCTTTGATAAATAAACACAGATATGAAAGTATTAGCTTAACACGTTTACGATAATTGATTCCTATTTTAACTCTTCATTTGATAATAGAGACAATGTAGAACAATTTTACATGTCTTAATACTTGAACATTATTATTCTTTAGGATATTGCTTTGATATGACACATAGTTCAAATAGAAAAAAAAAATAATCATAATTTGAAAAATGATTCTCTTCAGCATAAATATATGAGGAGAGAATTTTGTCGTTAAGGATAAAAAAGCTTCTTTTCCTTTCTCTTATACTATTTGAAATTCAGTTATACATCATTTCATGGATAGTAGAATCCACAATACATGTCTGTTCACATTATATATTGATTTATTATTTATTTATTTAAAAATGGCGCATTTCGATAATCCTATAAGAGAATCAATATTTCAATCTTCAAATGGAGAACACGTCCATATGTTTCTTTTTCGAAAAGCGAAAAATGTCTCCCCTACTCAATAAGATTCACAAATGATCAAACATCCTCTGATTAATTATTGATGAAGTCACAGTTTTGAAGAAAGAAGTCAATCTGAGAAAAAATTCTTTTGATCTAATTTCTCGTGCTCTCTATAGAAACAATACTAGTCACACACTTGTTGCATGCAACATTAGTGTATACCATAATAACTTGGTAAATAAAGTGTGTCTGAGAAGTACGAGCAGTTGGTTAAAAAGAATTTTCACTCAGATTAACTTCTCTCTTCAAAGCTATAACTTCATCCTTGATTAATTACAGTATACTTGATCAAGTATGAGCCTTATTGATTACAGAAAACATTTTTTTTTCTGCTTCTGAAAAAAGAAATGCATAGACATGTTCTCATGTGAAAGTTGAAAATGATAACATAAAATATTTTTGTCCTTAGAAGTTATAGAAATGTACTTTTTTCGAATAAATCAACATATCGTGTTAATACAATACCATTTATAAATAAATGTATTGTTGATTCTACTACCTAAGCAATGATGTACAAATAAAATTAAAATAACATAAGAGAAGAAGAAAAAGAAGAACAACGATTAAAGATAGAAGTTCGTTTTCGTCATGAAAGAATTTGACCTTTTTTGTCTTCACACACATACGTTAATACTAAATGATATTGTAAAAATATAAATCTAAATTTTTTTTTCTAATAATCAGATCATTTGTTCAATCAATGCCATTTATACGAATAATCTTCCTTTGATGTTACTCTAAAGTGCAGATTTCGAATTACAGATTCTGTATGTACATTACCTAATTCAATCATATCATAGTTTTTACTAGAGTATACCATTCAATTTTTAAAAAAATCAATCCATTCAAACAAAATCAATTGATAGTTCACCCTTGAACACATTCCACTGTCGAGAAAAATTGATTGAATTATCGTTTGGAAAACTGTAGAACGTTGTATAATACGAGATGTCGCTCTGGATTTGATAATAATTGGCTCTTATATTCTGTTGAATTTTACCATTATTAGCAAATCTCTTTTTTCTTACTGCGACATTATATGTAAAATAATCCTAAATATGACTGATGATAATGTAAGTGTATCTTATATTTATTGATCTAAATTTATACTACTGTTTGTCGTTTTTTTTTTATCATGAAGTTAAATCAAATAACAGATGGTCTTAAATCAATGCAATTCGATGATGATGAAGAAGCATCAAAATATTTTATTAATTATATAAGTGATGATCCCAATGGTCTTAATAATAATTGTGATGAACATGACGATGATTGTTTAAAAAATGATAATAATAATATTGATATGTCTTTATTATCAAATAGTCTTCTTATAACTTCTGTACCTCAAGATTTATTTACGAATCAACAAATGAAAGTAAAATAATATATTCTTCTTTTATAATTTTATTTAAGAATATTATTATTTATTTATAAAAAAAAAGGATGAATTCGAACAATTATTTCGAGTTTATGATTCTCAAATTAATGTAATTTATCTTAAATTTTTTCAACGTGTACGTATAACATTTACATCCTCACATAATGCTTTACAAGCTCGATTACATCTTCACAAATATCCATTTCATGGTGCAATACTAAATACATATTTTGCTCGTGTAAGTTAATAATTCAGTTCTTCTCGTTTTTTTTTTCGTCTATAGATTTTATATTATTCTAGCCAATTGTTTTTCGTGGTACAAATCCTGATACACATTTACATCCACCTGAACCTGACAAACTTTATCTTATATCACCACCAGCTAGTCCACCAGATGATTGGGAACAAAATATTGAAAAGCCACCAAGTGTTGATATGAATCTAATTGCAGCTATATCACAATTACGACGTAGTAAATCATTATAAAAGACCTTGTCGGATTTGGTGAACTATCTTGAACTAGGATCTCATGTATGTAGTTTTGTAGATTAACATGCGTTGCATCGAATTGTATATAAGAAATCAAGTTTAATTGAAATTTTGATGTGTTGAGAGTCTGTTCGACTCTGTTTCATAGAACAAGAAACTTTTTCAAAAACTACACACTATCGAGCTGATTGTCAAATTGCAAGATTGTCTCTAGAATAGCCTGTCAATTATTTAGGCTAGCATCCATGATGAACTGATATAAATAACTCCTTTATAAACGGAAAAAAAATTTGACTTCTGGGTCCGGATGTGGGAATGCAGAGAATATGGAAAAAATTATTATTCAAATGAACAGGAGATATCTATAGACTCTTCTAAATTTTCATGAATAAATCAAGCCTAGATACTTGGAACAATAATTTGAAAACGAAATAATAAAAATAACAGACCTTCTTCCTACAACCCTATACCAGTACTATGCGTCCAGGGATCTGGAGACCAAAAACTTTTTTCCATTTATAAAGGAGTTATTTATATCAGTTCATCATGGATGCTGAGCTAAATAATTGACAGGCTATTCTAGGGACAATCTGACACGTTGACAATGAGTTCCTACTGTTCCAAAAGACATTATCTGTGAAATATATAGAGCTCATTAATATGCAATTTTTGAGAAAGTTTCTTGTTCTATGAAACAGTCGAACACGTCAAAATGTCAAGTAGTCAAGAAATAATCTAGATCTAAGAAAACGGACCATTTTTCAAGCAATGATGAAAACTACTGTTTATAGAAAATCAAAGAGCACCTGAAAATATATCGAAACAGAAATTCCACAATTTTATCTTAGGAACCATTCTCAAGGATTATAGCCAGTATATAGACTGTCATCACATCAAAACTTTCATAAAACTTGAATTCTAACATACTATTCGATGCATGGCAAATTGTTCTACAAAACCATATCGATGGTATTCTGTCTCTAGATAGGTCACGAAATCCAGTAATGTCCTTTTCTAAATATAAATTATTGTTTTCTAGATGAATCTCATGAATCATTACCACGTGAACATATTTTGAATGCTCCATCGATCGTCGTTGATACATGTGAGGATTCTAATGTTGAAATAAATGAAAGTCTTCGAAAAAAATTAATCAAACCATCATTTGTACCTACTAAACGACCACGAAATAATCAAACTGATGAACATATTTAATAATTAAAAATACAAAAAAAAAAAATAAATTATTCATTTTACAAAGTATTGTGTTGAATAAAGTAATATTATATATATATATATACATATAGAGAGAGATTTTATCTATCAAAAACTTGGACTTTTTCGATAGTACTAACCTACTATGCAAATAAGACATATGGCAATACTCAGTAAAAAAGCAACAATTAAATAAAAAATATGATGTTTGCTTTGAAGTACAAATAATAGATTGATGAAAAGCATAAGTTATTTTTCATTCTATCAACTTGACCTGTATAGAAATTGCCTAATATAATTAAATTTCTTCCATACATTTGTTTAAGATCAATATTATGTAAAATTTCAAGTGTTGAACAATTTTCATGCCAAAATTCAACTTCAACAATCTAAAATAAAGAATTTTTTTTGACGCTATCAAATCGATATATCTTTTCTTTTTTATACCAAACCATAAGAAAAGTTAAAAAATGTTGAATTTAATAATGGTATTTCTAATCGTCCATGAATAATAACAATAATACAATATCGAGTAATACATAAGTCAATAAGATTTTTACTAAATACATGTAATGTATGTTTATATGTATGTGTGGTAATGATTATTAAATCTTAATATAAAAATGATTGTTTCACATTAAATTAATCATTTGATCGTAATAGATCAATCCAACATGACATAAAAGTAAATCCTGCACGGTAACAAGAAATTGATTTAATACATGATCATGTTTTCATTCTCATGAGTTAAACATTTATCAAGTGGTCATGTAACATATTTTTCATCAATTTGTGTTGTATTATTTTTGAAATTCGACATAAAATTATAACATAATCTATGGTTTTTTAATCATTGATTTCGCTACGGTTTTTAAAGTGATGAATTAATACTTAAGTTTAATTTATCTGTCAAATAAGTAAAGAATATAATTATTTGTACATTATCTAGACGAATAAAATTAGTAAAAGGACGTAAATCGAGTTCAAGATAATAAATCAACATAAATACAATTAAGAAATTTAAAAAGAATAGCACCATTTTTAATAATATTGAATAGTATATCAATATATATGGTGAAATAATATAGTGAAATTGGATAGACCCAATGTGAATGGAAGTTTTTGATTAAAACATGTAAGTTTCCAATATATATTCAAAGGATCAACTTCGCATTGCGTATGATTATCAACGAAATGGAATTTACATCTGTTTCAACTAAATGATTATAAAGCAAAAATTCATCGTTTCATTTGAATCTATAGTCAATAGACAATAAAAACCATAAAGAAAATAAATAATTAGTTGAATAAAATACATTTGATTAAAATTTTGTTACATATAAGAAATTTCATTAAAACTAAGCTTTTGATATATTTATTTTTGTGGTAAATTGCCAAATAAATGATGATTATTGTTAACAATAATCGGAAATATAAGTTCGACAAAAAGAAAAAATTGTTTTCAAGTCAAGTAGGTTATCTGTATCGCATTGTGATTGGTAGTTGTTCAAGTCTGAGAATTATTGGTTATAAAAAACATATTGAGTTTTTAATATTGTTCGATGTTTCGAATCTTCATTGATATAGTCCGTAATCAGATAGGAATAGACAAGTAAACATGATAATCTTAATTGAATATCTTATTCTGTCATATCTTATTTTGCAGTATCTCCAACACTTCAAGGCATTTGGAATACTTTAAATAAGTTTTAGAAACTTATTCTTCGAATTTTTATGCATGTGAGTTGTTTCTGTAAAATAATCAAACATAGTGTTCTTATATTAATAAAGATAGCAGTAGAACTAAATAAAATGATCGATTAGATTTTGTAGAAGTTATATTCCGTTGAATCTTTTAGCTAATGAAACTAATTTTCAATAAATTATCAAAAAATAAATGTACTCTTTCAAACAAATCTTTTCCGAAAATTTTCTCATTAATATAAGATCTACTTTAATTATTTTTTATTTGAAATAGAAAAATCTCGAGAATAAAACATCGTCCTTCGAATAGGACGTAAGAAAAATTTTCCATAATTCCAACCGCATTTCTCGTATAAACAAGTACTCTAATTAATTTACAATAGTACAATCATAAAAATTTTGAAACAAATAACATACTGTCTTTTTCAATTTATCATATCTCTCATGATTAGAGATGCGTAAGACCAAATTTTTTCGGTCCCAGTCTCGTTCAGTCGCAGCAACTATTTTATTCACCAGTCTCAGTGATAGTCCTGGCAACTTCTTTTCTAGTAGTCCCAATCTCAGTAAGTTCTCTTTCTCATGGTCACACACATCTCTGTTCATGATTCGTTGGTTTATATAAAATCTTGTCCTCTAAAGTGAATGCTGTTCAAATGTTGTAAAGCCTGGGTTTTTTTAAAGCATAATTTGTAAAATACAAATGATTGCTTTTCTCGTCATATATGGCAGTAAATTAAAATCGATTTAATAAGAAATAAACTCGGATGTTTTTGAATGACACATTATTATAAGAATGTTTTCGACAAGTTGCAAAATAATACTTCTCTTCATATCTACAATATATCGATTGACTTCATTTATCAAAAAAAAAAAACATTTATTTTTCTTTGTATATAGGAGAAAAAAAAACATTGTGTTATGAATGATTTCATGACACTCGGTGTCTAAAAGAAAACTGTTCAATTTAATTGATAACATCAGTTTTAATAAATGGATTATAAAAT